ACTTCTAGTTGAACCTCTGTACAGAGGTCTGAGCTATAGACAGGCAAAATATTACTATAATAGAAGCACTTTTCACAAAAGGAGAATATTTTGAAAATGGGTCATTCTATATGTTTATTTTTGTCAAAATACTGTACTTATATAATTTTTTATTGCAATACTATTCTTAAAACAATTTTATGTACATTTTCTAATCGAAGTGACACTAAATATCATAAATATTATCCATTTATACGCTTTTGCAAAATCACGGTTCCAAATGTAGTCGGATACCTTAATATTATGAGTCTGTCATGTGTATATACATTAATTGTAACTTTTTAATAAAAAGTAACTAAACAGAAATTTTCTTCGTTGACCTAAGCAGCAATTGATGTATTTTTTTTTCATATTACTTGTTTCTTTTACGATAATGTGTTTGTTCAGCTTCTATTTTCATTTTTTTTTTTTTTTTAAAATTAAAAATATTGGCTGTTTTAGTTTATAGTTCATTTTGTTCATCAGTCGGATTTTTTTCGTTCAATTTAGTGTATTTGATTTTCAAATACTTTATCCAAGGCAGCAGCCCTACCGTTGCTTTGATTTAAAATTGATTAGGGAGGAGATACGAGAACAAAATGTTTGGGTGTCCTATCAGGCTGGGTGGGTCTAATTCTGTTTGGTTCAGAAGTGCATCCGACGAAAAGTTAAGCACAAATATATTGGAGATTAGATGAGAAGTAATACGGCCTCGGCCTTGCACCTTCAGGTTCTCATAAATTTCAATATTTACAATTTTTTTTCATTTAAGTATAGAATTACATAAAAACTATAACCTCACACATCACTTGCTGATTTTTTTTGCTGATAGTGACCAGAAAGTTTACGAGCACGGAATCACCAACTTACCAGTAAACTGGCAAAATGTAAGATATTTGAATGATAAAAGCTCATTTTTTTGTAGAAAATTTCACTTCACGTTCAGAAATATTACTTTCTTGTCAAAAAAGTATAAATCAGAGCTTCTCAAACTTTATATACTTGCGACCCAATTTTCAATCATAATTTTCATCGCGCCCTTCTTCATACATTAACAATGTCTTCGATTTCAATAATATAACTTGACGTATAGCTATATATCGACTTTAATTAAAAATTATCGTTCTACTTGTCTTGGTAATTTGTAATTTAATTTAAAATTACAAATTATCAAGAAAAGCATTAAATTTTATTTATAATTTTATGACATGTTCATAGGGTTACTGGTAATTATTAAACTCATTCTGAACTTAATACTGTTGAATTAATTGTGAAATACATTGCGCAGTACTGATACCTTTATAAGTGTATTTATTATATGAATGTAAATGTGTATTTTACTTTTTATTATGTCAGAATGTATGTTGTCTTTTGCTCCCTTTCAGTAAATTAATAGCTTTTTTATTATTTTGTTTTCGACTTTTCAATATAATCGTGCCCCTTGCAGGGTTATCACGCCCCCCAAGGGGGGAGCGCCCCACAGTTTGAGAAACACTGATATAAATAGAAAAACACTCTAAAGAATATATATGATATAAATAGAAAAACACTCTAAAGAATATATATTCGTCTTATTTATTCAACCTTAGGTAACAAACTAACCATTTCAGTTTACAGAACTGCATTATGTAAACCATCGGTGGAGAACATTGAAAACATTTTCTTCAGTAACACACTTATGTTTCTTTGTGGTGAAATATGCTCTGAAAGAAATGACATTCTACCAAAGAAAAAGCTTGGATATCTGAATATATTTCAGAATATGTCAAAAATACGCCGTGATCCAGTTCCATATTATAGCTTTCGGAAATATTATGGAGGAAAATCTCAAAGGTAATTTTTTTTTCTTTCATTTTTCAAGTGAAAGGAAGTTTTATTCCAGAATATGTTTTGCATATTTCTACCTTTGAGAATTTTTTTGAAAAATTATATCTTTTTCGATTAGTGCAAAACGAAGTTTTGTATGAAGGTGGAGATATTTATAATAAGTTTAGTGTAAAAATAGGTTTTTAATGTATATATTTTAATAATACGTTTCAGAAAAATAACTAAGGTATATTCAAAATTTAAAATTCTCTTTTTAGTTTTAAGTATGAAATGTGAATTTAAACTGAACAGTTATTACGAAAAAAATTGTCAAAAATATCTTGTCCAATGTAATTAAAGAGGTAGAAATTATTAAAAGAACACGGTTTCTTTACAAAAATAATATTGATATATATAACATAAGAAGGAGAAAAATAATTAAGAATACATAAAAAATAATTTTTCAGAATATAATTTCAAACGTAAAAAAGTTCTACTGCTTAAAACTGAAAGAAACTTTTGTGAATTCCAAATGTTTCATTCTACATTGAAGTAAAAATATTCAGGTTCACAAAATATAGAAATCAATGATTTTACTATAAAGATAATTAAACCATAAGCTATATGACTTTATCATACGTGGAAAACTAAATATTAGTATTTACTAATGATATATGTTACTGTTATATTAATCATAATACAGACAACAACTTAAACTAAATACATTAGAATTTTTAATTAAAATATCTTTAATCATGTTTTGAAACAAAACATGAATTTGAGTATTTATTTTAATCATTAAACAAGCTTAATTACTACATACTCTTACTCATGCTTAAATGCAGGTATTATTGCAAAATGTTATTAATAAAGATATCTTGTTCTTTTGAAATTTTTAACTTCCAAAAAAAAAATATTTCACCTATGCCGATGAACAAGATCATCGGCGAGAAAAATGTTAGTAATGGTTAAAATAAATGAAATGTGATGAAATTTGAAAATTTGTGCCTTAAATTTGAAAATAATATGTTGCTACATTCAGACTGTATCTGCTATGGCAATAGTTTTATTATTGTCATTGCAGATACCGTCCAGATATATAGATGAATCAGAAAAGATTCATTTGATTCATTTATTAACTTCACACCTTACAATAAAACGAGGACTATTGGGGAATCCGAGCTTCAGACAAAAAGTGAAGACAACACTTTTACTGGGGCCCAATTACCCAAACTTCTACACAATGCCACATAAACGGAGAGTCTCTTGAGCCAATTGCATCATTCAATCTACATGTCTGGTCTTCATGGGCACTTGGACTCGAATTCACGACTCACTGTTCACCAGTTTGTGACCATGACCACATGGTCTTCGCAGCCAAAATTTAAATTTAAATAAAAATTTTAAAAGCAAAATGCAACTAATTTTGAATGACTAATATATTTTGTGTAACATGGTTTTCCATGTTAATAAAGGATCAGGTAACTAGATCCTAAAATACTTAATCAAAAAATTTCCAGACAACGAAGACACATCACTTGAAAATCTACTTAACTAGCCCTAAACACGAGAAAAAAAGTATAGGTGTGATATGGTCGCTCTAATGTGACCATATATTTGATTGTCAGAGTGAATTAGAGGTGTGGGATTCTCAAAATGAATAGACATTTTAAAATTCTTAATATGACTTTATTAAGAATATAACTTTTTTAACAATTTAGATAAATTTATATAAATGAGAATCTAATAAACCAAACACACAGCGATAGTTAAACCGAATAGCGTAATTTAGACCACTTTATATAAATAATTATATTATCCGATTACTCTCAATTCTGATAATATTACAAGTCCTAATATCAAATAATCAGTCCTACCTTAATTCAAGTTAAGAATCAATCACTGTACAGAAACACCTGGGCGCGCGTGCAATGGTATGCACCTTGTAACAATGGCTCGATATCTTGGTAACTTTACGATAGGCCATCAATTCACACTCGTATGTCTTTCAAACATAATTTTCCTTAAATTACCATACTGCTTACTGAAACTTCTGTTCTTTTAAAAGCTATCTTATTTGCATTTCATAATCGCATTTCGCTTCTTGGATTTTGGTTGGAAAATATTTGCCATTTATCTTGGCCGTCAAAGAACCCTGAGATTATGTTACAGAAAAGACGCGAGAGCCCGTCACATAGGGTTGGAATGATTAACATTCCATTTACGCAGTTGAAGAATATATGTGATTAGATTTAGAAAATATTGTTAGTATTACGTGTCTTGACATTGCAGTACACCTTACACGATAACTCTTAAGATCAATAGCTTTACACCAGTGCTTCTCAAACTTTCAAAGTTTGCGACCCAATTTTTTCAATTATAATTTTCACCACGCCCCCCCGGCATACAATAACAATGTATTTAATTCTATAATACTATACATTGATGATAAAGCTACAATACGAGGTCAATCTCTTCAGTACCACCGGCGTATATTAATGACCAATGCATTAATTTTCTGGACGTATATGTACTTCTCTCCGAAGTACGATTTTTTCTGTGCACTGCTAACCATAAAATTATTCCGAAGGCTTTGGAAATCAATAAAAGGACCTTAACAATATTTGTGAAGGGTTTACTTATTTCAGGTTATTTGCTAATTTCCTCCCCCCCCCCCCCCCCCCAAAAAAAACATCACATACGCGCGTCTACGTGGAAAACAATGGCATTGGGGAACGAATCTTGTAACTTTTAATCGGTAGTTAAGGGATTAATTATAAATCATACAAAAAAAATATTAAGATAAGTGTTGATACAAGCCCATGGGGTCACTGGTAATTATCACACAAACTTACTCTTAGTTAAGTATTGTTAATTTAATTATCAAAGGCATTATGCAGCACTAATGCATTTATTAGTGTATAAATGCGTGTATTTGGTTTTTTATTATGTCTCTCTCTCAGAATGTATTTTTTTTTTTGAAGTTATGCTTCTTTTGGAGCGATACAGAAATAGGTTGAGGGTAAATTCTTACAATGTGCGCCCACCCCGTCACGGATGTGACTCAAAACCGTCACGGATGCGAAAGTATTTTGTCTAGAAATATACAGAACAGGACAAATCATTCCAGCCTTCGAAATTCTCAGAAAAAATATTTCTCTTCACTTTCCTAAAGAAGGGTACACCCGGGTTTGAACCAGAGACCTCTCGATGTGCAGCCGAATGCTGTACTGAGCTATACACCAGCGTCAGCGAATCATTAGCTTTGTGTTTCGTAGGAATGTATACGAAAATGCTTTGTCTAGAAATATACAGAATGGGACAGATCATTCCTCCC